CACCAAGGTCCAACTCACTCCCAGTTGCCCCCAGCATGGTCCCAGCTGTTGTGCTTCCAGTCCCCGCAGTATGGTCACAGACACTCCCAGCATATCCCAGTTAGCCTAGTACGGTTCTAGTTAGCTCAGAATGATCCCAGTCTTTCCCAGTTCCTCCCAGTTGCCTCCAGCATGATCCCAGTTTCTGGCAGTTGCCCAAAGTACGATCCCAGTGGCTCCCAGGATGACCCCAGCAGGAGCAGTAGTCACTCCCAGTATGGTTCCAGTCACCCCCAGTATGACCCCAGTCAGTCCCAGATACTCCCAGCATTATTGCAGTCATGCTCAGAGTGACTCCCTGGCACTCCCAGTGTGGGCCCAGTTGCTCCCAGTCACTTCCAGTATGGTTCTATGTGGAGAGCCTGGTTCAAGCATGGCTTAAAGAAAGAGGCCATGAAGGTATTCAGCTAAGGGAAAAGCAGCCTTTCCCAGGCTTGATCCTGTGAATAATTAGGTTGTCAGCCACCTTTTATATAAACAACAAGATTCTCAGACCGTTTCCTCAAAAACAGGCAATATTCTGTCCTTGGCTGCTCCGGGAACAGATGACCGTTCTGGGAAACAGATATAAAGGTTTTGAGAACTTTTCATATCATGGTGAGAACACTGATCTTGGTTTCAATAAACTAACTTCAGGTATTGTAAACAAAAGGAGGAGCTGAAGTTTTCTCTACAGCCTATTGGGAGCTCAGATTTTGCAATATGCATGAAGTGAATTAACACTGTTATAAAAAGTGCCTGGTTGATCAATAAATTGGAGTCAGATGCTGACCAACAAAGGTGGGTCGCTCCCTTCACTTCAACAGTTCTAGTCAGAGCCAGCACCTTCCCAGTCACTCCCAGTATGATCCCAGTATGATCCCAGCATGGGCACAGCTGCTCCCATGATCATCCAGTGTGGTTCCAGTTGCTCCCATTTACCCCCAGGGTGGTTTCAGTCCCTCCCAGTATATCCCAGTTACTCCCAGCATGTTCCCAGTCACTCTCAGTTGCCCTAAGTTGCTTCCAGCCTGATGCCAGTTGCTGACAGCCACTCCCAGTCACCCTCAGTGCAGTCCCAGTTGCTGCCTGTATGATCCAGTATGCTGCCAGTGACTCCCAGCATTGGCCAGCTTCTCCTCCTGTCATCCCAGTAGGATCCCAGTAGCCCCCAGCACGGTTCCAGTCAATCTCTGTTCCTCTCAGTGTGATCCCAGTTGTCCCTAGAATAGTGCCAACCAATCCATAGATGATCCCAGTCCCTGCCAGCCTGGACCCAGTCATGCCCAGTTGACCCCAGTGTACACCCAGTCACTCCCACTCGCTCCCAGGTACACCCAGCATGGGGTTCCAGTTCTTCCCAGCATGGTCCTACCTGATCCCAATGTGGTTCCAGTCACCCAAGTATGGTTAACAGACACTCCTGGAATATCCCAGTGTCCCTCAGCATGCTCACAGGCATTCCCAGTCACTCCCAGTAGAAACCAGTCCCAGTGCTGCCACTGCTGGGATCCCCCAGCCCTGTGTGTGTTCCCCCCTGGCGGATGTGCCGAGAGGAGCCCCAAGGGCTGGCAGTGGCCAGGCAGGGTCCCCAGCAAGGCCCAGTTTGGATGTGCAGCCCCCAGTTTGCCCAGTTTGCCTCTCCTTTGGCCCGGGCCGGGTTCCCCCCGCCCGCAGCGGCTGGAGCAGCCGAGAGCCCCGCGCTGCCCATCCCGACCTGTCCCGGCTCCATCCCCGCTCCGTGCCCGCATTCCCGCTCCTTCCATCCCCGTTCCCTCCGATCTCCGCTTCTTCCCCCCCGCCGTCCGCACTCCGTCCCGGCTCCATCCCCGCTCCGTGCCCGCATTCCCGCTCCTTCCATCCCCGCTCCCTTCGCGCCGTCCCGGCTCCATCCCCGCTCCTGCCGCGGCTGCGAGGGCTGCGGGAACGGGGCAGCGAGGGTGTGGCTGCTGCTGGGGGAGGAGGAGGAGGGAGGGAAGGGCAGGGATGAAAGGGGAGTAGGAAGGGGGGATGGGCAGGAATGAATGGGGAGGAGGAGGACGAGAAGGGATGGAAGGGGCGGGATGGAAGAGAAGAAGGAGGTGGGGAAAGGAATGAGGAGGAGGAGGAGGAGGAGCAGCGGAGATGGAAGAGGAGGAGCGGGACGAGAAAGAGGAGGGAAGGAGGCGGGGTTAGGGGGGAGCAGGAGAGGGAGGAGAGAAGGAGGATCAAAAGGAGGTGGGGATAAGACAGAGGAGGAGCGGGAGGAAGAGGAGGGATAAAGGCGCATCAAGGCTGAGCAGACGGAATCGCGCTCCAGCCCTGCCTGAATTCGCAGCCCCCACCTGTGGAATCATCGCCCCCCTCTCCCCCCCACGCGCAGGTGAGCCGGGAGGAGGATCCCGGCCCGGATATCCTGGGGAGTCGCTGGGTTCGGTTTTTGGGGGGATATTTGGAGAATGAAACATTCCAAGGCTGAGCGGAAAAGGCCCCTCGGGGGGACATCGGGGGGTGCCGGTGGCGGCTGCCGGCAGAGGCAGCCTGGAGAAGCAGAGCCCTGTGTCCCCCAGGAGCCCAAAGGGGGGAGCCCAGAGAGGGGAGAGCGCCGCCATTGGCGGGAGCCTCAAGAGCCTGGAGAGGGGCAGGGGGCACTCCTTGGAGCCGTGTCACGATCCGTCCTAGTGAACGGATAATCTGATAGTTCGTAGGGGTCATCTCAAGGTGCAAAGAACCAACAAAGGCACAAGGGATTTGCAGCAACAATCAACAAATGCAATTTTATTGAAATAACCAGAACAGAAATACGTTGGTGAGGGGAACCAAAGGAAATATGGAAAAGAGGGAGGAAAAAGGGGGGATGGGTTATAGCTACCAATCGTGGTGCTGCTTTATCCTTTGGGGTCCAGCCGATGAAGTTCACCAGGCCATGTCTGGGGACCTCTCAGAGGCACATTTCATCTGGACCCCCAGTTACACTATTTTTTCGTTGGGGGAAGAGGGAATGAATTTCACAAGTAAAACAAAGGTCTTCAGGGGGAAAGGAGAGTATTTGTTCAAGGGTACACAAAGTCGAGCCAGGCAGCAAGCGAGAGCCATTGTTTTCATGGCCCAGTGTTCGCACTTGTGCTTGCTCTGGGTAGCTTTCCTCTCCCCCCCCCGCACACCTCCCCCGAGTTGGGGGTTTCAGTGCCAGTCTCTGGAAGAAGGTGAGGGGGCCTTCTCACACAGGGGTTTCTTGTCTCGGTTCCTTGATGAAGAGGCCTACATCTCTACTTGTCTGTCACAATGGTTGAAGATGGGCAAGAGGGGTCTTCTCTTGGAAGAGGGACCACCCCTAAGCTCAAACCAGCCAGGCCAGGAGGTGGGCAGAAGTTCCAGGACCATTGTTCAGAAAAGGGCAGGGTGCCCCTGTGAGTTCAGTGTCGCGTATAGCAAACACCACCTGTGGAAACAGTGAGGTAGGAGTCAAGAACATGATTTTCCCCCACACTGGTTCAGCAGTTTTTAAATTTTTCAGTAGTCTCTCTTCGTGGTAATCGTGAGGCAAAAGAGAAGGATATTTCGGACTGACTCTCACAAGGTGCTGCAGCCCAGAGCAGAGAATGAGGGGAGAAGGGAGCCCGGGAGCCCAAAGAGCCCCGGCATCCCGAAATGGGGAGAGCCAAGAAGGGGGAGCTTTTGGCATTGCTGGGACTGCCAGCAGCCTGGGCAGGGTGGGCACCAAGGAGAAGGGGGACACACAATCCAAGCGTTACCCCAGCAACTGGGACAGGGGGGAACCTCCGAATACCAAAGGGGAGGGGAACTCCTGGGAGGCTTTTTCAGGGCTGAATCTTGGTGTTTGGGAGGTTTATTTGAAGCCCAGGTGTCCTGTGACTTGTAGAGATTGACATGGGCAGAGGGACCTTCAAACTCAACATGTGTTGGGTAAGATGAAACAGGGAAGCCTTATAAATATGATTGTCTGGCAAAAGATTTTGATAATGTGGAAAGTCTAAGCAAGATTGAAATGAAAGCAAGCTTTTAGATACCTTAGTTAGTGAACAATTGGAAAACAGTGTTGTGGCCCCACTGAAGGTAATCTCCTTTTGATGAAAAAATTCCCTCTGCTTGCAGACAGACCCAGGGGTCAGAGCAGACCCTACTAGCTCAGCAGGAGGAGTCCAAAAAGAAGTATTTATGGTTTGAAATGTAACACAGTATGGTGATGTAATGACTTTTATATACTGTATGTAAATGCTATAGGATTTATATCTTGCCCTAGATTGGTTAGTGAGAAATAGAATATTCAACAGAGAAGAAGATTTATTGTATTGTAACGGGAACGTTACTCTCTTAC